TCAAAGTCCAAACCAGAGTTTGTCAATCTGCCGCCTACTCTCAGCAACCCATCTACCAATATTGGATAGAGTCTTCGGAGAAAACTGCAACGTAATGCACGTCGGTCAGAGTTACGATTCCCCTTGCCTAACCTCTGAATCTCCGAAGGGAAGGCTTGTGATTGAAGCATGCGAACAACATCAGTCTCTGCTGTTTTCAATTCAGTTGGAAAGATTGGCCAAATTTTTACGGTGTCGTCAGGTCGGAGTCCTTCAGGATACCGAGTTGTCCTTTGAATCTGGTTCACCAGACAACCACCATCAGCACCTTCATACATCGTGAAAAACAATGCAGTTTCTGCAGTAAGATGTTGGTCGAAGCAGCGACCAACGTAACGATCCTCTTAGTCTCTGGTAACTCCGTTGAGACAGGGGAAATCTAGTGTCGGACCATTGGCTGGGTTGGTCTGTCAAGAAAGCCGGTCCATGTAACCATGGTTTTATTTTCTCTAAGTTCAGCACACCCCTAGAGCAGTAGTTTGCTGGATTGTCACAGGATTTTATGTGACGCCATTGACACACCTCCGTTTCTTCGTGAATGACAGCCAACAGTTTGGCAACAAATGTGCTGAAGCGCGTCCGTTCATTGCTAACATAGTGAACTATAGCAGAACTATGGCGGAATCAGTCCAGTAAGTTAAGGTTCATTCAATCGAATCGAAACATATTTTGATCACCTTCGTTACCCTCACGGCTAATACTGCTGCGGCTAGTTCTAGCCTGGGTATTAAGACTGTCTTTAGAGGGACAACCCTGGCCTTTACGAACAGAATGTCGCTATGCCTCCTCCCTCCTGGCCGAGACGAGCAACCGTAGGCCACCACTCCGCATCCCACCTCCGACGCGTCCGAAAAAAAGTGTAACTCACTTTGCTCTCCTTTGTGTATTCATGGTATGGGACGAGGGGGTCGTATATCACCCAGCTTGGACAGGCTCAGCTACCAGCTTTGCCAGGTCTTGTGATCCGCTTCGCATAGGGTCTCATTCCAAGTAACCTGTTTTCTACAGAGGTCCTGCAGCAGAATCTTGCCCTTCAGTAGCCACGGTGCGACGAACCCCATTGGATCGTAAAGGCTGCCAACGAAGACACAATTCCTCTGCGAGTCGCCGTCTTCCCAGGTAGCTGGAGTTGGAAGAAAAGCTCGTCTTTCTCCGAGTCCCATTGCACACCAAATGCTCTGTCTGTTGGTAACGGACTCCCCTGCAATTCACGGGGACTCGTTGCCCGCTCATCAACTGGGATGCAATCGATTGCATGACGACTGTTGGATATCCACTTGGTCAACTTGAACCCTCCCATGAGCAGTAACTTGAATAAATCCATAATGTATCGAACTGCTTCTTCAATGCCATCAAAGGATCCCAGGAAGTCGTCCACATAAAATTTATGTTCAACAAAGGGGCTGAGCAAATTTGTTCACAGTCGTTTTTAACGCGAATTTTGCACATGAGGGAGAGGATATCGCACCAAACGGGTGCACCGTCATCCGATATTCCTGGGCCACCACCACAACCGT